AAAACAAAGAGCCGTGGGGAACGGCAGGGAGACCCTGAGGTCCAGGGGGCCGGGCAGGGTGGCAGAGAGGCCAGGGTCTCAGAGGAGCAGGGGGCCAGGCTCTGCTGGCCTCAGGCCTGGACGCTGCCCTCCCCACCCGGGCCTGGAGCACCCTTGGACAGCGGTCACCGTGGCAACCAGAAAGGGGTTCTAGGGCTGCCTGGGCCAGGGCTGGGGCCGGCTCTCACCTCGACCGTGGGGTCGCTGCAGTACTGCCTCAGGAGCTCCAGGACCTGCGGGTTCCCGATGGCGCCCAGGGCCTCCCCTGAGAAGCAGGCAGGGCTGGTGTTGGCTGCGAGCGCCACACGGCTGCGGGACAGCACCAGCTGGTAGCAGCTCCCCGGCCAGGGCTGAGGGGCAGCAGGGCTCACGGGCTGCACGGCTGCCCAGCCAAGCCCAGGCAGAGGCTGCACCTGCCCCCGGGCACAGGCAGTGACCCCAGCCTGCGCCTGGGGACGAGGTCCTCCCACCTGGACACTGACACAGTGGATGGGGAGCCCGGGGTCAGGGGGAACTCCCTGGGGCCTCTGGGCAAGAGGGACAGCACAGGCTGAGCCCTGCAGCCAGGGCGACCAGAGGGTCAGCCGGGGTCCTCCGCACAGGGACAGTGACAGGAGAAAGGAGGCAGGCCCAGCACTGCCGGTCTCCTTTAAGCTCTCCTCGTGCACCTGGAGCCGCCTGGAGTGGAAGGCCGTGCCTGCCCCTCCCACACGGCGGCGGCCACTCTCCTGGCCTCACTCAGTGGCCTCGCCTGGCCGCGGGGAGCAGTGTGCGCCCCACACCCAGCTCTGAACGTCGCTTTGAAGGAATAAGATTCCCTGACCAGACAGCTGGGGTGGCCCCGCCGTCCCCGGGGTGGCCCGTCTCCTGGACCCAGGCCAGGCCAGCTGGGCAGGGAAGTGCGAGGGCAGCGCCTGCCCCTCACCTGCCTCGTGGCGCACCATGGGCTCCTGGCGGGTGTCCCGCAGCACGCCCGAGAGCACGGGGATGGCGCGGGAGTCCTGCATCTGGCCCAGGCAGTAGGCCAGCTCGTGCTTGAGCAGGGCGGAGTCGTCATGGAAGGCCCGGCTGATCCAGGCGATGGCCCCGGGGCCACCAAGCCCCCGCAAGGTGAAAAGCGCCCGGAAGCGGGCCTGCAGAGGCTGCTTGGGGTCCACTAGCACCTGCCCGATGGCCTCGACCTCTTGCTCTGTCACCATGATGCCTCCAGCAAGGGCCTGGTCCTCTGCGCCCCGGGGACTGAGCCTGGAAGCCCAGAGAGCAGAACCTGCAGCAGGAATGGAGCAGGGTCAGCGGCGTCCGCCCACTTGTCTCGGGAGGGCGGGGGCTCTTCTGGGGGGTACTAGTCCCTCCAACCCAGGCAGCACTCTGCCACTGAACCACCCCTCAGTCCCCCCACAAACTCTGAGTCACATCCCAGCCCCATTTTGTATTTTATTTAGAGACCGGGGTCTCACTGAGGTACCTAGGGCCTCGCCATGATGCTGAGGCTGGCTCTGAACTGAGATCCTCCCGCCTCAGCCTCCCGAGCTGCGAGCTGCGGGGATGACAGGCGTGCCTCACCGCGCCTGACCCTTTTTTTGAGTCAGTGCCTAAGTTGCCCAGGTCCTCAGTAAAAGCAAGAATAGGCCAGATACAGTGGCGCATGCCTGTAATCCTGGCAGATTGGGAGGCTGAGACAGGAGGACTGAGAGCTCAAAGCCAGCTCAGCACCTCAGTGAGACCCTGTATCTAACTAAAATACAAAACAGAGCTGAGGCAGCGGCTCAGTGGCTGAGGGCCCCTGAGTTCAATCTCCAGTACCAAAAAAACAAAAAAAACACAAGAATAGTATCTGGCATTTGTGTACATTTGCCAAACGCCAGGCTCTCTGATAAGCCCTTAAGTTCATTAGCTTATTTAACCCTCCCAGGGCCCCACGGGATGGGCAGAGACTTTTCCCATCGACAGGTCAGGAAACAGCCTTTCTTGCCTGGGGACAGCGTGGATGCCGGGGTTTTGCTGTGGTGGTGGTGGCTCACACTGCAATGAGCCCCGGTGCTTACCACTGAGCCACATCACCAAGCCCTCTTTCTTTTGTTCTAAGACTGGGTCTTGCTCAGTTGCCCAGGCTGGCCTGGGACTTGCCATCCTCCTGCCTCAGCCTCCCAAGCAACTGGGTGGACAGGAGTGGGCACTGCGCCGAACTTCAGCAGGGACTGAAGTTGTGGGAGTTCAGTTGTGGGAGGCCGCCACGCCACGTGACCAGCACATTCCTTTCCTGATTGGTGAGACATCAAAGTGGCCCTCGATGACGCCCCGATCTTGGAAGTTGAAGAATGTGTGAATGCCTTCCCGCACGCAGCCCCATAGGTGGAGCTACACTCACCTGTTCCTTTGTGATGTTACCCCTTTGCCCTGTTTGGAAATGCCCTTTGTGTGTCCCCTTCTCTTGCTCTGCCCTTGGGTGTGGCCTTCCTAGCTGTCAGTCAACCAGCTCTCTTTCCACAGACCCTTAAGGTCACAGGAGCCCTCACAGAACCCCAAAGAAAAAGGTCTCTCTGTCTCTTGTGTGGTTATTTGCACAGCCCATTCCCCTGGAGGGACCCTGGGTGTTTTGCCTTGAGGAACGCAGCAGACAGTTTTAAATCAGTCAGTGTGGCTCCAGAGGGCTCTGAACCATATGGACGTTGCTGCATGAGTGAATTAAGATGAAATGACACTGCCTCTGGTTGTGGTGGCCACACCTGTAACCCCAGTTATCCAGGAGACTGAGGCAGGAGAATCATAAGTTCAAGGCCCACCTGGACAACTTAGCAAGACCCTGTCTCAAGATAAACAGTTAATGGACCAGGTGATGTAGCTCTGTGGTAGAGCAACCTGGGGTCCATCCTCAATGCTGCAAAACAAAACAAGAGGTAAACAAGGATGATATGACAAGTTGGGAGGACGGACTCCTGGGCCCTCCAGGAACCCGGCAGACACTTCCCAGACACAGCAAGCAGGGAGTGGCACGCCGCAGCCCTCTGTGGTTTCCAGTGGCGTCAGCAGAGGTGCCTGGAGAGGGCATAATGTGGGAGGCACAGCTGCCTAGGACAGGTGCCATCAAAGGATGATCACATCTTGAGGAAGGAGCAACAGAGACTCCAGAAAGCAGGAGCTTGTGCTAGCAAGACCCTAGAGGCACTGTGACCCGACTCCTCCCTCCATATACACGGATAGGCAGCCCTTGTCCCCAAAACAGAAACTCGGGCCTTCTGAACTGCAGCAGGCAGTCTAAGTTTAAGCTCCTGCTACAGAGAGAAGTGAGAGGAGGAGAGAGGGGGTTGTGGAGCTCCAGGCACACATCCCGAGCTTAGTCTCTCCATCTGGAACAGCTCAGCAAGTCTTGGGTTTCCTTCAAACCTAACCCCTTGAAACCTTATCTTCTGGGGGAGGCCTTTCTCTGACCACCCTGTTTAAGGTGGCAAACTTGCCACTACTGAGCCCTCCATAAGCTACAAGGAGTTAATGAATCCTTCCCAGGGAGCCCAAGGTCCACCTGGGCTCAGGACGAGGGAGAGCCCTGAAACTCATACCTTAGGCCTATTTTTCCTGGATGTGGGGGTCAGGGATCGGTCCCCAACGCAGGCAGAATCCAGGAGTCCACTCACCCCGGTGGAGGTCTCAGAGACAGACCGATAAACTAATAAAGGGATGCAGGAACCACAACTCCAACGAAGAGCTCGGGACCGGATGTCCCATCCCCGAAAGGGTCGCCGCGTCCCGGGACCCCTCAAAAAGGGACGACCGGCTCCGCAGACCCCTTGGGAGACCCCAAGACGTCGTTTCAAGAGCCACATAATGGACGCCCAGTACCGACGCTGCCCAGGGGCCCCCGGAGACATGGGACCCCCAAAACCAAGTGGAAGAGGTCGCGGGACTCGGGACCCCTCCAGCCACCCTGCCCACGACTCCCGGAGGGCTCTCGGGGCGCCCCCCGGGCCCGCCCGCCAGACCCGGGATCGCACCGTGCTCCGCCGCTGCCACGCCGTCCGGGCTCCGAGTCGCCGGACCCGAGCGCACCACCCCGGAGGCTTCAACAGCCGCGACGCTCGCAGCGCGCCGTGGAGGCCGCCATGTTCCCGGCCACGTGACGAGCCGGACGGCGCCAACGCCGCCGCGGGGGGACCAGCCAGCAGCGACCGCCGCGGAAGCAGGACCCAAAGCTGCAGCCAGCACCAGTGACAAAATGGAAACCCACGCCGCAGGAACAGCCGAGGGACATGCCTCAAGGAAAGGGAAGGGCCACATCCGCCCTCCCTCTGTAGTAGCCCCTCCGGCCTCCCCTACGGGGCCGGTGGAAATGGTTTGCGCCCGTTCAGCGCGGAGCTTGGCCGGCTGGCGACGGAGCGTGCGCGGCGTCTCGGGGGCGTGGCCAGCCTCGGGGGCGTGGCCAATGGTGGGAGGCTGGAACCCCGGGAGGGAGGGAGGGACCGGCAAGAGGAAGTGACCCCGTGGTTCATTCATTCGTGGGTTTAGTAACTCGTGCTCGCCGAGGACCCGCCTGCCGCCTTCGCCTTCCGAAGCCGCGCAGTGCTGTCGTCCGAGTGTGCACGGCCAGGTGGCGACACCCGCCCAGGAGAAAGGGGAAGCGCGGCCAGGGCCCAGGGCGGGCATCCCAGCGCCGACCCGCCAGGCAGAGTCCCAGGAAAGACCCGGCTGCACGGGAAGGGGAGCCGGGGATCTGGTTGGAAGCAGAGAGAGTCCTGCCAGGCTGGGGGGCAGCTCCGTGGGGGAGCCCGTGCCCGGCACGGGCAGGGTCCTGGGTTCAGGTTCACCCCAGCAGGCAGGGGTCGGGGATCCTGTCAAGGATGAGGACAGCTTTGTCAGGAGTTACTGGAAGGTTGCCGCAGCCATGAAACCCACTCCACCCTCGCCTTGGAACTGTCGGATCCGCTCACGTCACTCATTGTTTCCCTTTTTTGTTTTTATTTTTGCAGTTCTGGACATGGATGGAACCCAGGGCCTCACACTGGGTAGGCAGGTGCTCTACCACTGTGCCACGCCCGGTCTGGTGAAGTGGCCCAGACTGGCTTTGAACTTGCAAATCTCTGGTTCTGCCTCCCTAGGACCTAGGATTACAAGCTGTACCACTGCACCGGGCTCAGCAAATGCCTTTATTTCTATCTGTGTAAAATATTTATATATGATTATATATATTTAGATTTACTTTAGTTGTGGATGGACACGATGTCTTTATTTTTATGTGGTGCTGAGGATCGAGCCCAGTGCCTCACACGTGCCAGGCAAGCGCTCTGCCACTGAGCCACAACCCCAGCCCCTCAGCAAATGCTTTTTAAGCAGAAGCCAGAGACCAAAGATTTCACACACAATCTCTAGTACAGGGAGGCTGAGGTAGTAGGATGGGACGTTGGAGGCCAGTCTCAGCAACTTATCAAGGTCCTAAGTAACTTTTTTTTTTTTTTAAAGAGTGAGAGAGGAGAGAGAGAATTTTTTTTTAATATTTATTCTTTAGTTCTCGGCGGACACAACATCTTTGTTGGTATGTGGTGCTGAGGATCGAACCCGGGCCACATACATGCCAGGCAAGCGCACTACTGCTTGAGCCACATCCCCAGCCCGACCCTAAGTAATTTAACAAGACCCTGACTCAAAAAAAATAAAAAATTTTTAAAAAATAAAAGGATTGGGGTGTGTCGTGGTTAATCACCCTAGGTTCAATACCCAGAAACCATAAACTATTAATAATAGTTATAATAATAATAATAATAATGTGGGCAGGGAGCCAAGCATGGTGGCACACACCTGTAATCCCAGCTACTTGGGGGTGGGGGGAGTGAGGAAAGAGAATGGCAAGTTCAAGGTCAGCCAGGCAACTTAGCAAGACCTTGTCTCAGAAATAAAAGGGGCTGGGCTGGGGGTGTGAACTCAATGGTAAAACACTTATCTATCATATGAAAGGCCCTAGGTTCAATCCCCATTTCTGCAATTTAAAATGTATAGGGAGAGAGGGGTAGGATGGGGCCAGGGGCTGGGGAACATCATCCAGTGGTAGAGCGGGATGCCTGGCATGTGTAAGGCCCTCAGATCCAGTGTTGCAAGAAATCCACACAAACATATAGGTATCCGTGTATATATACGTATAAACATGCGTGTGCGCGCACACCACACGGGCAATTCATGAAAACTATTCCACGCACAGCAAAGCAGAGTGCAGTCACTTTGACGGGCCAACTGCTGTTTTAAGACAACGCTGATTCAAGATGAGCAGAAACTCCTACGTACAAGGCACAGCCCTGGACGCCAAAGACACGGAAGGAAGCAGATGCCATCACTGGCTTCATGAAACCCACTTCCCGAGGTGGTGCTGCCTCCCACGTCAAAGGAGACTCTAGATAACCAGCTTTGGGGCCGCCTGCGGGCGCTCCCCAGGACCCCGCCCCCCAGTCCCACTGTGGCTCAGGCTGAGGTTTACTGAGTCTTCTAGAAGGCCAGACGCTGTGCCCACAGGGCAGAGTGCCAGGTGTGAGGGCCCCAGGAGGCTCTGCGGGAGGAGATAGGCCCAGGGGTACAGGAAACCGATATCAGAAGCCACACCCAAAACAAGGCTTGTGTAAGTCTGAGAACTTGGTGTCTGGGCCCTGCAGACACACCTGTGTGTAACTGATACCAAAGAGGAGCCCAGGCACCTGTGTTCCCCCCTCTGCCTTCACCCCAGTGTGGGGGCGAGAGGCTAGGCCTCCTGCCACAGGAGGGCCGTTGAACTAGCAGGAAAATCGTCTTATTCAAAGCCAGCTTCGAAGGAAGGTAGAGGAGACATTTTTGCCTCAAATCCCCATCTTCAGAAAACTCCAGGGACAGGGAACTTTTTCTAAGAGGAAAGCAGCGGAAGAGCCGGAAACGGGGGCAGGTTCAGTTAGCCAGGCCAGCAGCGTGGCGTCCTGGCTTCTGGGGAGTCCCCTCTGTGCGAGGAGGCCTCCGCTCCCAGTAAGAGGCAGCTTAGAAGTTAAAGCAATCTGGAGCTTACACTTCCCAGGGGCTGCTCCGGAGGCTACAGAAAAACCAGTTATCAGGAAGTTGCCCTGAATTTTAGAGGGTGTCTGCAGGGTCCTGGCAGCCAGAAGTCCCTGATGGAGGTGTCAGCGGGGCCAGCCTCTCTCCTGGCTCTGGGGAGGGTCCTTCCTGGTAACTGGCAGTCCGTGGGGCTCCTCAGCTTGTGGCCTGTCCTCTCATGGCCAATTTTTTCAAAAAGGTATAGTGCGCCTGGGTGGTTCGGGGAGTTCTCCAGGTTGCACCTTAGCTGACGTGCTGAGGCCTTGGTGGGGCAGGGAGCCCTCGCTGACCAGAAGCATCTCTCTTGAGCCTGGTACTGGTTTGAGGAAAGAGCAATCAGGGCTGGTCAGGGGGAAGATGGTCACTAACAAGCTGCTCGGTGCCACATTTTTTCTTTCTTTTGTGTGCTAGGGATGGAACCGAAGTCCTTTTGAAGTAGGACAGAAGAAATTAGAAGAAAAAACCAGGTAGACAGGACCCAGAAGGAGCGACAGGGAGCCAGGCTGTGGGTCCGAAGGGCTGCCTGTCACTCCCGGATTCCTGGGAAATCCGTGACTCTGCCTATGCGGAGCTCATCCACCCCAGAACATAGAAGCAGCAAAGAGAGGACGTTTTAAGAAATCTATAGCTTAGGAGACCTTCCATTCCTATCTACCGATCAGATAACAGACCATGTCAGCCTCAGGATCTCCGAGTGACCAGACCCATGTCACCCACACAGCTTCCCGTGCCCACCCCTCCCTAAGATTGCTTTGAAGAGGAGACCTTGGGACCTCTGGGGACCTCTCCCTCTGGAGATGGCCGCATCCAACCTGGAGGACGCATCTGCTTCCTACACAAGCCTCTCTCCATGCCCAGGGCTGGCAAGCGCTGGAATTCTTTTCTGTCACATGAGCCAAGGGCCCCATTGAGCCTGAATCAGTTCTCTGCTCTCTCCAGGAACTTCACCCTTCTCCTGGGCCACCTCTTCTCCAGTGACACTTGTACTCACTGAGTGCAGGCTGCACGCTAAATTATGCTCTGGCCCCTGGCCCATGTGCTGGGATCCTGTTTGTGCCAGGCACTGTCCCGGACCTCCCAGAACTGATGGAGGATATAGTCTACATCTTCACCAGCCAGCATGGTGGCCCCTAACTAGTTGGTGCCACTCTGGAACTGAATTTGTAGTTTTCAAAATTTAAGCAATTTAGGGGCTGGGGATAAAGCTCAGATGGGAGAGTGCTTGCCTTGCCTTCGCAAAGCCCTGGGTTCAATCCACAGCACCACAAAAAATAACAATAAAAAAATAAAAATTTAAGCAATTTAAATTTAGAGGAGGGGCTGGGGATGTGGCTCAGTCGGTAGCATGCTCGTCTGGCATGCGTGCGGCCCGGGTTCGATCTCCAGCACCACATACCAACAAAGATGTTGTGTCCGCCGAGAACTAAAAAATAAATATTGAAAATTTCTCTCTCTCTCTCTCTCCTCTCTTACTCTCTCTTTAAAAAAAAAAATAAATAAATAAATAAATAAATGTAGAGGAAATAAAGCTGATACTTTGATTCAGTGCTCGGAAAACTTCTAAGCCTGTTTGAAATACCTGGCAATGCAAACCTGTTTTTTCCCACCTGTAAAATGTAAAAAGAGATCAAGGATTTCTGATGCAAATTAGCATCAAGAGGGGGATGTAATATGCACTGGATCCTAAGACTGGATTTGACAAAAATTACATAGAATACCCCATTAATAATAGTTGAGTTTGATTACATGTTGAAACAAAAATATTTTTAATAAAACAGTACTTAATTAAAATGAATTCTGCCAGAATTTTTGTTTTACATGTGGCTACTAGGAAATTTAAGTTCCCAGATGGATCATGTTCCATATGCTGAGTGACTGCGCCAGATCCTATGGTGGCTGTGGAGCTCATGGGAATCAGACAGATGTGCATTTGTATAATACACATCATTTCACACCACAAGGAAAAAAGTAGAAATCAGGTACCGTGGTGTCTGCTCTCCTTGCAGGATTCTGCCCAAATGCAGGGAGTCTTGGGGAATGGTGGAGGGACTCCCACCTCCCAGGAGATTCCACACCCATGCACACACACTGAGCCAACTTTCAGGAGCAGTAAAATGACTCCTCAATTTGCCATGTCTGAATGGGTCATTATCCTTTCACCAGTTGAAGGACATCTGGGTTGTTTACACATTTTGACTACCGTGAAAAAGGCCACCATGAATATTTGTATAGAAGTTTGTTTTATGAAGTGCTTGGAATTGAACCCAGGGCTTCGCCCATTTTAAATTTGAGACAGGGTCTTGCTAAATTGCCCAGGCTGGTCTTGAACTTGGGATCCTCCTGCCTCAGCCTCCAGAATATGGGTGTGGCCACATACCAGCTGGAGTGGATGTGTGTTTATCTCTCTGGTGTACATACCTAGGAGCATCATTGCTGTCATGTGGTATTTCTGTTTAACTTTTGAGGAACTGCCCAAAACTGTTTTTCCCATCGGCTTGCACCATTTTACCACCTCACCAGCAGCGTAGGAGGGTTCCTATTTCTCCACATCTTTGCCAACATTCATTAGCTTTCCTTTTTCGTCTGTTCAGATTTGTTTTGTTTTGAATCCAAGCCAGCCTAGTGGGCAGGAAGTACTATCTCTGCGCGGCTTTGATTTGCATTTCCTGATGACTGAAGGTGCTGAGCATCTTTACATGCACGTGTTGTTCATTTGCATGACCTCTTTGGAGAACTGTCTATTCAGATCCTTGCTCCCCAACCCGGCTATTTTATGCGGTGCTGGGGATGGAACCTAGGGTCTGGAGCATGCTAGGAAAGGGCTCCACACTGACCCACACCCCAGGTCCAACCTTTGCCCATTTTTTTGTGCAGGGAATTTAAAATGCTCTTGTTGTTTCGACGGCCAGGGCTCTCCATCGGGCTTGCTCCTGCTGTTGGATGAGGGCTGGGAGGACACTTCGTGGGAGCCAAGCGCTTGTTGAATGACGGTCTCCGCAGTGAGTTTCTTGGTGGTGGGTCCCCTCTGCCTTATTACGCGGCGTGACCGCCTCACGAAGGTGTAAGCCTGCCTCTGCGGTCTACCATTTGTGGGTCCACCACTCGGGGTTCAATTCTGCAACCATCCCGTAATAGCAGCCACGCCCTCCACTGAGCAGAG